TCCTGATATTCTGTGATTCTGTGATTCTTTGTGTTGCCTTCCACACTGGAAGGCACAGACAGCTGTAAAATACATGTTTTCTGCAATTGACGTATTTCCACACTTGGAGCCACAGATTTGAAGTATGATGCTTTTGTGGCTCAAGTGTGAACAGGTTGTTTTTAGTACATCCTATACGTGGCTTATTCAGTGTGGAAACCTGCACATGAACTGAGTGGCCATGAGCAAGGGAAGAAGTGATCTGGAAGCAACTTGTGTGTCTTGGAACGGCCCTGAATCCTCCACAGACACCCAAATGTTTATGCCATGCACAGCGATGTGGCACGACATAGCTCTCAGAGACCATCTGGGCCACCCAGCTCTAGCCCTGCCGGATCTGCTGTTGCTCAGACTAGGGTCTCTTTGTGAGAGAGGCTGAGTGCAATTCAGTTTCAAAGCTACTTTATACAAATTTTCCAAGTGCATAAATTCTGCATTTTGTTAAAAGGATGGATTTGATTTATAGCAAGCTTAATTATAAAAAAGTAAGCCCCATTATTTTAAGCCAGTCACATTAATAACTACCATTAGCAATCTTCTCCTGTGAACAAATTACATTTAATGGCTGGATTTTACCTGCTGTAAAAATCAGTGACGTGATGGAAGTGTGCCCCATTTCCCCAGATCTGCCTCCAACCTGCACCATCTGCATAGTGAGCAGGCAAGACAAGGAAAAACATTCACCCCTGCATATGCTCAGCCAGATTAGATGAAAAGCAGCCAGACAATAAATACCATCCAGCAAAATCTGAGAGATTAAATGGCTTCCTAAGCCCCTTCCACACTGCTGACCCTGCAAGAGCAGAAAGGTGTTTCAAGAAAAAATAACATTGTATACCTTCCATAGTCTGCTTCATCTTTATCTTTTCTTCTGAAATATCATTAGTTTCAATCATCTGAAATAAATGTAAGATATGAGATGTATTTTACAACAAAACAACCCTTTACAATAAAACAACCCTTTACCAAAGATTCAAAGCAAAGTTAACAACCACAAAGCGCCATCCAAAGCAGAACCATATCCAGTACTCAAGTTACAATGCTCTATGTCCTTTCTGAGAGGGAAGCAGGATTTTTGAGGAGTCACTCCTACAGCTGGGTACTACTGATGGTTAACTGGTACCATCTGAGAGACCCCATCCACAACAGGCAGCTGAGCACATGGAAACTCAGTTTGCACAGAGCGATGGAAGAGCTGCTCTCCTTTGGACCAGTCTGCTGTGGTTAACTGTGGCAAATACTCAGCTGCAAATGCTCTTTAGCATTCAACTTGAGACCTATCAGCCAACAAGTTCCTTAAATTCTGAAAAATCTAACTGTGCTCAAAGTTATAAAAACAGTAACAGAAAGTTGCTAAAATAATATTAGAGAACTACTAGATTAAGAAAAAAATAATAAAAAGCAAATGCTAGTCCACATAGAGGACTCTGCCTCCTTCCCACCCTCTTTTATCTATACTGCAATGAAAGGCGTAAAGTCAGAGAACGCAGAGCTCACGGCCAAGCTTTCCACTGCAGAAGCCACAGTTCAGCCCTTCAAGCCTCCTCCCACCCAGCAGCCTTCAGTGGGACCTCCGAACATGCTCCAGATCAAGCAGTAGCTGTGGCCACCACCCGAAAGACCCAAGGTCAGTCCCCAAGAGCTTGAGTGGGCTCCAGGATACGTCTTGAACAGAAGCAGAAGCCCACCCAAAGGGGGAATACACTGCCTGTACTTTTGGTATTTCTGTTAAAAGTACTTGTGGTGCAGAAAATCCATTTAACTGCTCTTTGGAGCTGCTGTAGTTCTCACTTGGTCAAGGAAAGACAGCACAATCATGGTCAAGTGGTCACTAGACGTTTGTTTGTTTTAAGTATCTGGATAGTTAATACTGCAGTCACGTTAAATTAGCTAAGACATTCAAAAATAGAATTTGCCCTACGACACTCGAAGGCTTTCACCCATGCATTTCTTCTCACATTTTCCTGATTTTAATTGGCATGCAGTTAAAATAATAATTTCAATGCTCTCTGGTTCTAATCCAATATCAATGTCCCCTAGAGCCCTGTCGTTTATTTAAAGGGCTCTGGAACAAGCTTCCAGCTTCTTCTTTTACATTCATTCCTGTTTGAATATTGGCTATAACATGTGACATGTTGTAATAACAACCTACTTTTCCCAGGGCCCTGGCTGTGCTTATTGTTCACAACTGTCTTTACTAGATGAAACATATTGAGCAAGCCTTGAAACACCATTAATGCTGTAGATTCCTCCTCAGGCTTTTGCCTCTCTTGCCAGTTCAGCATGCCTTTTAGCAGGCATGACGCTCCGACTTGGCCAACAGTAATTCACAGGCTTCACTTGGCTGCCTAGATTTCAACTGATTTCAGTGGGGTTGTTCGCACTGGCATATTAAACATTGACATTGTATTCACTTAATTGGCACCTCAGTCTGGAGCAGTGACTACATCACCAGTAATAGGTTTCAAATAAGTATTCTTAAAATGTGCACTTTTCATGGTTTATTTTCACTTTCTGCATCCCCACAAGGACAAGTTGTAAGTTGGGGTTTTGCTCATTTCTCATGCAAAATTTAAACACGAACAGGGGTCCAGCCTCGAGCCATGAGCAGCAATCTCCTCCCCTCACTCCAGTGCAAAGCCAGCTATGTGTCCCTGTGCCATGCCACAACGACAGGATGGCATCCTGTGGCAAATAGTTAAAAACAAAACAAAACAAAACAAAAAAAACCTGAACATAACTTAAAAAGACACAAAGGCTACAGAAAATTGACCTCTTCATATTATTACTGCTCTTACTCTAGCCTTCCCTGGGAGACTCAGGACTCATATTTAATCAGGCATTTTATTTGCCCAGCCTGGTGCCATCCTGACCCTTGGTGGCTGCTCTTCCCCTACAGTTCTCAAAGGTGGCATTTCCTTGTGTCTCCTGTATGTGCGCAAGGCCTCCCACTGCCTGGGCTGCACTGCTGGCACGTACCTGTCACCCAACCCCACCAGCTCAGCCCCCCAAGCTGAGGCTCTCAAACCATGCTCCATGTGCTGAGAAAGCTACGTACTGTCAGCATGGGCAATGCCTCTTCTTCCACCTCATCCTCCACCTAGCCCACTCTAAAGAGCCTTGCTCAATAATACACTACGGCTGTGGCATCTCCTTGGAAGACAACGGCTCCATTGTAGAAATTATGCTTTTTCAGCTAAGAACACTGCTTGCTCATGATGAGAGCCCATCCCCAGCAAACCACGACAGACCTATTCTGCTGCTGCAGCGCTAATGTGGCGTCAAACCCACATGTGGCCCACTTGCATCTCTGACTCCTACTTCTTCTAACTGTGCCACTGTACTGGCTTTCAAGAGCAGGAAACCACCTTCAAGCATAGAGACGTAGTGGAAGGTAAAAACATTCAGATATTTTGAGGCATAAAAGCCTCAGAAAACTGCTCAAGGCAGCAGCTGACAGCTACTCCCAGGAAGGGTTACTAACAGTGATGATAAACAAGCAAAATGACCCAGAAGTCATACATTTGCATGCTGAGAAGGATGCAGGGCCTCCATGGACTGCAGCTTGTTCTCTAAGACAAGCACTTTTTCCTGCAATCTGTGGATCTCCTGTTCACTCTGGGCTTCTGTTTTCTGTAATGTTTCATAGTCCAACATCTTCTTCTCAGCCAAAGAAATCTGCTCTTTCAAGAAAGCTATTGCTTCTGTTTGGTCTGTATATTCACCATGCAGTTTCTCCAGTTCATGCACCCTCAGCTCAGCATCTCGACACTTGTCCTTCACATCTTGGAGCTCAAGAAGGTGCTGATTGCTTTTGGTTTCCAGTTGCATTTTCCAGTTGCTGTTGCTTTTTTCCACTTCATCCACAGCCTCCTGCAACTTCAGTTTGAGGCTCTCTTTCTCCTTTATATGAACAGCCGTCTCAATGTCATGCTTTGCTTTGAGGTTCTCCAACTCAAGCTGGTGCTCCATCTTTATACTCTCCACCACTGCCTTCAGTTCCACGATCTCCTTATGCTGGGTGTCAGAGCCTGTGTTCAATGTGGCTTTAAGGTCCTCCAGAGACTTTTGGTGGTCAGAAGCTAACGTATCCAACTTGGACTTCCAGTTGTCCATGAGCCCCATGTTCTCATTAGTGGCTTGCTGAACTTTATGCTTTAGGTCAACGATTTCCTGTGAATACTTCTCATTGAGAGCTTTCAGCTTCTCCATCTCCTGCTGGTACTTCTTTAACATCTTCTCGTACTTCTCCTTTAGCTGGCTGCTCTCCTTCTGATGTTCCTTGTTAGCAGATAACAGTTGATCTCGTAGACGAAGAGCCTCCGACTGCAAGCCAAGGTTATGCTCAGGGGTCTCTGCTTGGTGAGAGCTCCTGAGGCATTGTCGAAGCTCATTCACCTCGCTGCGCCTGAGGCTCAGCTCCTCCTCCAGCTGCAGGATTCTGGACTTCTCTGCTACCGTGGTTAACTGCAACATGACAGAGAAGACAAAGTCAGTCCCCACCTCTCATTGCTGCATCCTTCCTTTTAGTGAGTGTACTCCAGTGCAAGTAAATCCAAAGAACATTAGTCAAAGTTCAAATAAACAGGAAAGAATACCCAGCACCCTCCAATCTGAGTACAGTTTTGCACCAGGGTTTCACTGATAACTCTAACGATAAAGTTACATCTTTGTGCCAATTGCAATTTGTTTTTTCTAATATGAACCTCTCATTTTCCACAGAGAAACACACATCTTCGAAACAACCCTTGAAATTTGCTAGAGAGTAACAGTGGTTTATGAAAAATAATGTCCTGAAAGGGCATTATGTTTCCAGATTAGGCATCTTGCCAGATGATGCACAGAGGAAATGTGACTGCACATGCAGGAATATTACAAGCATTGAAACCAGCATTAAGCATATCATGTTTCCTTTATTGCTCAGCAATCCTCAGCCTACTCCTCAGCCTCTCTTCTGCATCGTAATTTGTTTACCCTGGTGTAAAAAGGGGTTTTTACACAAGTACTCTAACAGAGTTCATTAGCAAAGTCAAAGTAATGTAGAAGGCTAGAGGATGCAAGACAATAAATCTGGCCATGGTTAACATTGAGCATAAGGGCTATGAATCAATGTCTTATGATCTTAACGTAACATAATGGGGCTGAACTACCTGCTTGGCACAGAGAGTTCAGGGTGCTGCAGCTATGGATGGAGAAGAAGAGATCTGACTAGATGAAATATTAGAAAAAGGCAGAAGAAATAAGGAAACCAAGCCAAAACGTAAGCTATCAATTCCATTTCATTTACATTGCCATTTTCCCCACTAACCATCAGCCCAGGAGACTGAGTGGTTTTTAGTTTAGATGGGCACATGGGCGTTCAAACCATTCAGCCCTTTTGGAGAACTTCACGTTTGCATTTTCTACAGCTCTCAAATCCATTGGTGAGAAGCAAGCTCACTGTAGCAAGTTTGCCACTTCCCCCACCACACCTGCATGAAAAAGCCCTTTCCACACCTGGCTGCTTTTAGGTTTGGGTGTGAGGTTCATCTGGGCATCCTGTCGTCTTGCAGGCATGGCCAAGGGTTGGAGATGGATCACCTGCACCCACCAGTATCTCCCATTTCACATGGCAGCTCCCACAGCTGGCAGGGGGACAAGGGGAATGCTGATTGCAATGTTATTTCCTATAGGCCCGAGGGAGCCTTGAGGCAGAATGAATTGTGCAGAGTGCAGATATTACTCGGGTATGTTAACTGAGCGATGAATAGTGAAGAGCTCATGTGTCAAATGATGGCATGGGGCAGAGAAGCAAATTCAATCTGAGAAACAAGTCCCCACACAAGAAGCAAAGCTAGAAGTTATGTCATACTACCATGTCCAGGAAAGCAAATAAAAATCAAGCAAAAAATCAGGGAAGCCTAAATTCAAGGCGAAATCAATCAACCCCACAAACCGAGAAAAGAAACCCAAAGCAAGGCATCATGAGCATCAGCACAGGGGGCAAGCGCGCTGTTCTGCAGGCAGGGCAAGTGGGGGTCGATTACCCTGGTGTCCTCTAATTCTCTGAGGAGTTTTTCAGCCTGTGCCTTCTCAAACAGCAGGCTCTGCTCGAGCTCCCGTATTCGGGCATGCTCCAACTGCGTCTGAGTCTGGTCACACATAGGGAAAAAGAATAACAGTGGAGATGGGAAAAGGGGGGGAGAGAGAGAGAGAGAGAGAGAGGGAGAGAGAGGGCTGCAACATCATCTTCAGTGTGCAAGACAAGGAAAGACAGTTTACAACAGGAGGAGAATAAAGATCCAAACAAGTAGAAAAAATCCAACCAAACAGAAAATGGTCACTACAGGGTTTTACATGGTACTCGTAGCGGCTATTCACAAGAAAATGGAATCTGTGATGAGGAAACATCTCTCTGTGTTAGAAAGCTGCTTCAGTGTTTTCCTGCATCAAGACTATATTGAAGACATGCCCTAAAAAGCAAAACTCCCACTGCTGCAGGCCAGCAGTACAAGACCCTTGCACCATACAAGAGAATGCAAGAGCCTTGCAATGATTCTCCACATCTCTCCTCAAGAAGAATCACAAGGTAGACTGAAAAGAGTTGGAAGTTCCCATCCTCTTTTTGCTCTGGAGACAGCCTGAACCCTGCACTAGGTGGGGAAAAAAAAAGCAGGTCATGCTGTGCACAGCACGTTGCTAAAACCAAAAATACACTGCACTTCCAAAGCAAGTAAAAGAAATTTAGATACCAAACTGTTATATGAACCAGTGCTTTAGGCTTTAATAGGGCTGCTATGAATTTCAAAGTTATTTTTGCACATTAAGACTCTTAACAGCCTTGTACACAAGAAAACAGAACTATTTTTTCTGTTTTGTTTTTTTAGACAGATGACTACACTAAGCACAAGAAGTTTCTGTAACCTGCCCAAAGCCAGCAGCACTGACTCAGGGCACTGCTTCAGTGCTCTCCAATTTAAAGCAGAAGTGCCATACAGCTGCCCTTGGTGGCAAACCTCAGAACTCCACAACGACCACTGTAATATCATGTAAAATTTCCCATAAATAAAAGAGGAAAGGAGACATGGGACAATGCATGCAGATTCTGGCCTTCACACTTTTTTAGCTTAGAAAATGAACATTTTCTGTTGAATTAAACTAGACCTACCAAAAAGCAAACAAACCTGATCAGAACAATTTTTTTTACCCCCATTTACTACCTTTTGTTTTCCTTATAGTCATTTCCTTCCCCCTCTTACTGTTGGAACCAGTTTCAAGGATTTTTCTGCCCTTTGCTACAACAAAGCAAGTTTTGGTTAGTTGTGCACTAACCAAGTCTGTAAAAATCTGTTTTCTCTTATGGCTTGAAAGTTATCATTCTATGTGTATATACAGATGGTCAAGAGCTCAACTGCCAGATATATATATTCATACTATTCCATATTTTATGATGTCTATTTGACTCCTGAAAGAGGGAAAAAATGTATGGTCTCAAGAACCCAAACATTATCAAAACCCCCAAATAATATTGGGGAAAATAATACAGTGCGAAAGCTGGCTGAATGCATCCTAAGAAGAAGAATTAAGAAATAAAATTTTGTACTGAGTGGCTTCTCCTGCTCTCTGCAAAGCTCAAAAATCCACATCTCAAGACAGAGCTCCGGGCTTGATTTTATTTACAAAGATAATTATCCCATCGATACCAATGAATTTTCCTCAGTTTACACCAGCTCAAATCCCAAAGTGAAATTTCAGCAACACAAACTTTTGAAATTACCTTAACTGATGGCAACACATCAGATATTTGCTACCTGAAGATGCTGAGCTATTACAAAAACTAATCTCTGAATCTCCCAACGAGTCTCACAAGACTTCCGAGGTTGACACTCAAGTTTCCAGCCAAGCTGTCTCAGTTCCACCTGATATTTTCACTCAGTATCTACCAATCCTGCTATTTTCCAGGTTTGGAAAAACACATGAAAATGGAGGAGAAAAATCATCAGGGAAGAAATTTACATCAACTGTTTTACAGTCTTTACATTTTAGATTAGCATCAAACACTGTATAATTTCTTATGTTATGAAAATTGCTTTGCCTAGCCAGTATGACTCAGAGCCTTATATCCACAGTTTGCCTGCACTTTGAGGAAGTTCAGATCTGAATTTTAGACTTATTTCTAACTATTAGCCTTAAATTACTATTCACAAATTAGAAAATGCCACTTCTGTTCAAAACAGGATGTGGGTTCCAGGAGATGAGCATGGGATAACAGACTCTTGAAGGAACTATTTCCTATAACAAAACAGTCTCCCACCATAGAAAGCTTTTCTCAAAAGTTTTGTTTTCCTGCAATTGCTTTTCACCTCCCAAAGCACTACAGCATTGGTATTGCCAACCAGGACCAAAAATGGGTTGAATTCACAACTACATTTCAAGGTTAAATCCACAGCTCCTTCTTTATCAAAGGTTCAAAACCTGGATCCATACCTGCAGGCTTCAGACACACTGATTTCTTTGGGCAAAGAGCTTCTAGGGTTGCTGCCCACCATGCTCAATGTCTGAGAGTCCCAGCTATGTTCAAAAACTACATGGAATTATAAGAAATATAATGAGCTTTAGCCTGGCCTTGAGCAGAAACATTAGATCCAAGAACCACAGAGGAGACAATATCTTTTTTATCATCATGTCTGTTACTGGCTGTTAATTACAAGATAAACATTCTCCTCTGAGTACTCACAAGAGTGCTGCTGGTATAAGAGGACTACAAGACCAGAGAAGGAGAAACAACTGTCACTGGGGTTTGGCTTTGGTATTTGGGTAGTTAGTTCTAGCGAGGGATGTGAAGGGCTGGGCTACCAACCACTGGTTGACTTTGTTGTGATTTTATATGAAGAAAATCAGGACCAACCATTTCCCGGGAAACACTGTAACATATAGGAGCACTTATCCCCCCGATCCCCAATGAGAGATGTGTTTTCTCTAAGAAAATTACTTGCTTTTGGAAATCCTAACTGTCTCCACAACAAAGCAAGAATGTGAGTAGTTACTCCATCATCTCATCTGAGCATTCAAATTGGACAGGACAAGGTGTAAAAACTGACCACAGCCAGGCCCACCGTCAATGCCTGTGCCACCACTGATGTTGGACTCACAGGGAACATTCCATTTCTCTGGACTGCAGGAAACCAAGCTGCTCCATGACTTTTTCCCCTAAGAAGTTATTTGTTCTTGTGTACAGATGAACATGGAAGTGGGGACAGGATCCTGGCAGCCTGCAAGAAGCTTCGCCACATCTCCATGGCAAAGCAACTCCTTCCCAGCACAAATTAAAATCAGATGATCTCCTCAGTTTGGGACCTGCAGTCATAGTAGCACTTATGTCAAAACAGCTTACCGTTTTGCTAAAACATTTGGGGTTTGGGTTTTTTGGTGGTTTTTGTTGTTGCTGTTGGGGTTTTTTGAGGTTGTTTTGGTTTCTTACCTGCCAGCTAAGCCTGGATCCATTGTCATTATTCCACAGACAGGCTTAAGCACTTAAATCTTACACAGGGACAATTCACTGCTCTCAAAAGAAGTAATGGATCAGTTACAGTTCTCTAAAGCACTGGGGGAAATCTATCATCCAAGCTCAAGAATCAACAGAAACTCGATTTTGCACCCACACACTAGGTAGAAACTGCACTTGCTGTCCTCTAGCAAACATCTGCTATCAGTGCATTGCTGATTTATACCCTGCCAAACACATTACTCTGCCTCAGGTTCTGGATAAAGAGGAGAGGTTTATGCCAAGAGGGTCAAAGCCATAGCAAAACACTCCATTGTCTTGTTTTCCTGTGCTTTTATTGATATGACCAACGGTGAAGCACAGGAGCAGGTCCCTTGACATTTCTGGCTGTTATTAGCACTCTAACTAAAGATAAGGGAAAGTCCCTTGATTTACACGTGTAGAGCAGAGCTTTGCTTTCACAGAAATATTTTCTTTTCTGTTTTTTTTTCCCCACAGAAAAGCCTCCCACTCAAGGGCAAGCTCCCAACACCACTTCCAGTTTGCGCAATACTGACTGGAACAGCATTGCTCCAAGCAACAGCCCTTCCAAAAAAAGGGATATCCTACTGTCAACTGTCACCCCCGTGGACAGAGGATACCACAGGTCAGCAGATACATGGCATTTTGGCTGGAACAGAACAGCATCTGACTGGGAGGCTGTGAGTGCCCGTTAGCTGCTAACAGCAAGACACTGCAGGGACAGTGACTGAGCAGTCAAGTTATTCCTACAGAGGAGAAACATATGCTGAAATGGATTCGGATACAGTCAGGTTTTAACATGGCTTGGCAACTCATGGTGATATTTAAAGCCAGGCTGGCTGTGTGTGATTAATTCTAGGCAGCTCCTGGCATTATTATTCATTGGGCAACATACCAAAGAACAATCTGCACATTTTACACCATAGTGTTTGCAGCAGGTCCAAAGCCATCAGTAAGATAAGGTATAGTTTAGAGTTGAGCAAAAGGTGGCAGAAATTACTCAAGTGAGGTCCCACACACAATTTCAAGTTTTGACCCCATATTTTGGTAAGGGTGCTAAGAATTACCTCCAGATCTCCCTTTGTAATGGATTCTTCCTCCACACGGAACTGTAAGTCCTCCACTTTCCTGGGGAGGGGAAGAGACACAAAGAACAATCAGTAAACCCTCAGATCAGCATCCCATTTCTAAGCAGCCCTTGCACACAGGCCTCCCCTGCACGACTGAAGCCTGAGAGGAGAGGGATACAGACAAACTTTGTATACAAACAGTTCAGGACAAGATAAACAGCAAGATACACAGAGCAGGACAGTTAATAAGCAAGCCTTCCACATAGCAAACATTTGCCTTCATGCATACATGCCCACAGATGTGTTATTTCTGCTACACCACTGCTGTTCACCAACACCGGGATCCTGAAAACATGAAAGCTACAGCCAGGTTTCACTGGTTTTCTCAGATGCTGTTATCTTGCAGCCAAGTACTGGGCAATTCCTGGGCCAAATGCACAGGGTCCAGACAAAATATTCCAAGGGAATCGGAGCTTCTGCCTCCTTAGCACAGGGTGGGCAATGCTTAAAGTGTCCACAGCACGGAAAGGGTGACCTACTGTGGCAGAAAAGCCTTCACCTGACATTGTACAGGCCAGTCATGCATAAATGCACATAACACCACATGCACAAGCACAAACATGCTAGGACTCTTCTGCAAAGTTGGAAGAGAAAATCCAGTAACAATACAAAATAATTCAATTTTCTGCTAAACTCAGTCCTCTTTGTTCTCTTTACTGAGTTTTTTAAAAGTCAATGAGGATGTTGCACTGGTAGCCAGATGGAAGGACTCTGATTCTGTTACAGATAAAAATAGCTGTGTATGTGCATATCTAACTTCATAAACAAGCTTTGTTGTTTAAACGTTCTCCAATTAGAGGAGGGATCTGTTGATATTTAGGAAAGAACTCAGCTGTCTTGGGTTAAAGGGCCTCCTGGAGCTGGGAAAATGAGCTGCCTACCAGGAGAACAGGGAGACTTACACACGAAAGAATAATTCATCCTTAGAAGGAGCATCATTCAATTGAAATCAACACAGTTACTTAATACACAGAAATGTCTTTCTGTTCCCAGTGAAGAGTTGAATTATATATACATGCACACACATGTACATATATATATGAAGCAACTGGACTCCAAGAATGACAAGCAGATCTTCACTTTTATCCAGAAAGGAAATGTATGCATCATCACATATACATGGATGGGTCCTCTGGGAGATGGGGAGATCATGAATCACACTACAGTGAGGCTGTACTCCCTTCTGACTTCCCTTCCTCAGAAGGAATGTCCTTAAGATCAGCACATCCCAAATAGAGAGGAAAGAAGAGCTCTTCAGCAAAGCCAGGTTGTACAGAAACATTAGGAGTCTGGGACAGCCCAACCTGCAGAGTTCTGTTTATTACCCAGTAATGTTCTTCTATACTGTGTCCTTAGCCCAGAATATCTGAAGGCAAGGTTCTGTCCCTGTCCACACCCTTGAATGAGTCAAACCCACCTTTACTGAGGAACTCCAGTTCACACAGTGACATGGCTCAGTTTGGTCAGGATATCAGATCCCGGCATCACTGATATTAATGAAGGCCTTTGTTCCTTCAGGCTAATAATGCTGCTTCTCCCTGCTCTGTGTTGGGAACTGAAAAACAGGGAAGGTGTCTGGAAACCCTCAATTACTTCAGTGCCCAGCAGGAGACCAAGACTATTTGGCCTTCTACTGGCAGTGGTAGATAAGCTGCTATTGCTCTAACAATAAAACGGTGGACATTTGCCATGGCCATATGCTCTAGGACATAGAAGCAGCCTGTCAAATATTTATCTGGGTCATCACAGGAGTGACAGCACTTTAGAGGGCTGATCAGGAGTGGAAGTAGATGGTGTCTTTTGTTGTTTGTTTTTTTTTCTTAAGTGCTACATGCATTTGGCAGTAAAGCATGTCAAATCATTAAACTCCTTTTGACAGCAGAACAGAGCTGCCACTATCCCAAGTGTGAGTTGTCCTGGCTGGCTGCTTGTCTTCTGCCTTGCAGTTGCATTGCAACAAGGGGGCAGGTTCAACTGAGCATATTCAGAAAACCCCAGACTGTTCACATCACAAAAATTAGGTCACTGCAATCCCACCAAATGATGGAGCATCGAGTTTCCTCTAAGAGCCATAAGACATAGGAACACACAAGACTAATGGGAAACACCTCACTATTCAGTTGTGATTAGCAGCAGTTTGTCAGGAGATGGAGGCAGTCACTGTACTGGTTACCCAACCCTGGACAAGAGTCACATCAGATGTGCAACCACAGCAGAACTGTTCTAAACTCCTCACTATCTGAAGCAGCACACCCCTTCCCCACGTACAGGCAGACTATAGGGGCCAGGAGAGGGAAACAGCAGATTTACGGTACTGGAAGGCATCCAAAGATGACACTCCCAGTTGCTTCCATCTCCTTAGATCCAGTGAAAAATATTCTTGTATAAGAGCATCATCTCCCCCATGACTTCACCTCCACAACACCCATCACTCCTGCTTTACCGCTTTTCCTCTTCCAGTTGATTCAACAGCTCAATCTTCTCCTTCTGCATCCCATCCACCAGGGCCCGTGCTCGCTGGAGGTTTGCTTCTGCCTCTGTGACGTACTGTGGCAAATAGAAGAGTGTGAGCCACAGAAGTTAACAAGTGTTTGAAGCACAGAGTTGTTTCAAAAAAAGAACAAAAAAAAGGGATCAGAACAAGGAAACAAAGTTTTGATGATCTGTTTTAGAGGCTGCTACTGTAAGAAAGTCGATTTTCCAAAAAGACCAGTACATTGTTATCAAAAGGGAAAATAAAAACAGATCTCAATCTCCAGAAGCTGTTCATTTGATCCATGCTTCAGTGCCTCTCCAACTTGAGCCCTTTGGAGAATCCAGTTCTGATTAAGAGTTAAGAACTTGAAACCTAAACAGTTTTGGAAATCTGGTCTAAGGTTACTAGATGCAATTCAGCCCTGGTCATGAACCAAGAGAAACATCTTAATTCATTTGTTACTGGCAATTACTGGAAAATATTATACACAAGGAAGATGTCAGCTCGCAGTTGACTTGCCAACTTCTCCCGCACTTCTGATGAGTAGGCGCAACCCACCACCCAAAGACATACACAGTGCCATCTCTGTCCCCTAGTAGCTGGCTGGGATTTAAACACATGAGCAAGGCATTTAGGACAACAGCAGTCATTGAAGAGCCACACATTGACAAATACCACAAACTCAACTCTTCTCTTTAAGCATTCAACTGCATAAAATATTATTTGTACAAATTATTCTAAAAAAAGAAAAAAGGTAACGTGATCAGTCTGTTTTCCTTCATCCTCTCTGGCAGGAAAGCAATGTCATGAGCTGAGCTGATGCTCCCAACAGTGTCTGATAACATCAAAAAAGCACTGCGATGCAGTCACAGCCAAGGCCAGATTGGGTGGCCAAGGGGAACAAGTTTGCCCTTCACTTGCGTTTCTGCATTCAAATGTATTGATCCACCTGACACAAACTATCTGCTGTGGTTTTTTTCTGGCACAGCCCTTTTTCTGCTTCTGCATGGGGCAGAGAGAGCACATGTGCCACCAGCAGGAAAGAGCCTCAGCTTACCCCACCATGCAGGAAGCTGTCTCCACGTAAGAGGCAGAAATTCAGAGCCCAGGTTTCACATCAGTAAGCTATACAGGGGCAACATTACGATCTGAACCTTTCAGAGGATGCAATACTTGAGTGCTAGTGATAAAGCCACATCACCTCTTACCTGCTCGTGTTGGGCCTTCATAATGGCAATCTCTTTCTCCACCTCACAGATGTGGCTGGTGGCTTTGGCAACCTCAGCCCGCTCTAGGTCACGCTCTGCCAGTAGCTGTTCAATGTGCTGCTGCTTCTCCTTCAGTGCCTCCTGGAGAGCTGTGGTGCCAGAGATTTTTCGGGCATATCGAGAAGAGGTCTCTGTCAGCTGGAAAGA